ACTACATTGCTGGACAAAAGAAGTTGCCTCTCATGAAGTGTTATTATTCTTTATAAGATTGAACTGATACTTTGGTTACATGCCTAAGATGATAAATTTTGACTGTAAGCACTAAACCATCCTTCATCTGTTTATCTGTATTGAAGTTCTGATTTATATATCATGTAATCCTTTTGAACAATATATTCAGCGAAAATATGTAGTGAACAACTTTCTATTTGTTATTTTGCTATTGCACAAGCTAGCATTGCTTTGTTTTTCTAGTGCTAAAGACAGTTCCATGTGTTTACTTTATTATTCGCAAAGTCCGTGATACATAGTTCAGATCTTCGTAATTAGCATGCTCTAAGATAATTAGACTATGTCATAGTGCTAATTCAACTTCATTCAATGTTGCGGTTGTAAAACTCTGAGAACAGACTTATCATCTCATGGGAAATTTCTACTGAAATTTTGAAAAGATCTAGCTTAGTAAAAACCAACATTTGTTCTTCAATGAAAAGACAATAATCTTAGTTATTTTAAAGTGATCTTACACTGATATCAAACTAGAAATAACTACGACAGTGACCTTTCTCATCAATGGTGAGATGAATATATTTGTGCCAATATGTTTGAGATAAGGTGATCATATGAGGAAAATGCTACCTGAATTACAACTCTAGTACATGTGAGCCAACAGAGGGCAAGTTGGTGCCGGAGATCAGGTTTTATTGTCACACACATGCAAATAAAATATCAGCACAAAATCATAAAGAATAATAGCACTTCATCGGGGCCGTTACTGTTATCCAGAACTTTTTTTATAATTAAATCTAACTGTTTTATAATAATAGGGCCATTTCAAATTTGTCTTGCACTTACACTGCTTTATCGACAAATGCAATTAGCAATTATACCTGGTGTTCTTTTATTAATTCTTTTAATTCCACTTAATTTATTTTTACAAAGAATAATAAAGCAGTTAACAGTATGTCGATACTTTAAAAAAAAAACATTTTTTTCAAACCATAATTCAAAATTAAATTTAGACAAAACAAATGAAATTGAAAGATCAGCGAATAAAAATGATGAATGAAGTTCTTAATGGAATAAAAGTTTTAAAATTATATGCATGGGAAATAGCTTTTATGCGACGAATAGACGATGTACGAGAAAAGGAACTTCAATGTATACGTCAAAAAGCTATTCTAAATTCTTTTTCAAGTGCAATATGGTCCTTTGCACCAATTCTTGTAAATAAATTTTTATTGACTATTAAATATATTCGTCAAATATTTGTTTGTTTTCTTTTTAAGGTATGCATTGCAACATTTGCTACATATGTATTATCATCAAAGGATAATATTTTAACAGCCGAAAAAGCTTTTGTTTCATTAGCATTATTTAATTTACTTCGATTTCCACTTGTTGTATTTCCGACTATTATTAATAGTATTATTGAAGTAAATTGAGAATATTTTTAAGATATATCTTATAATGTGTGGTTTTTTTTTATTTAGGCTAATGTATCAAACAAACGTATACAAAAGTTTCTAAATAATGAAGAAATCGATGAATATGCTGTCAATAAAACAACTATTGATTCTGATGGTAATGTAATAAGAATTAAGGATGGCTCATTTCGATGGTCAAATTCAAATGAAGATCCAATTATATTAAAAAAGTATAGAAGAAAAGCCTAAATAAATATTTATTAGAACGTAAATTATTTCTTTTCATTTAGTATTAATCTGAAAATTCGTCGAGGTTCACTTGTTGCATTTGTTGGAACAGTTGGTTCAGGTAAAACAAGTATATTATCGGTTTTACTAGGTGAAATGAGTAAAATTACTGGACAAGTTGATATCAGTGGAACAGTAGCTTATGTACCACAGACAGCATGGATTTTAAATGCAACAGTTAAAGAAAATATTTTATTTGGAAAAGTTTTTAATCAAAAATTATATGATCAAGTTATTGAAGCATGTGCATTAAAACCTGATTTGGGTATACTAAATTTATTTTGATTTTTTTTCTAATCAATATCTTTAATTTTAGATATATTACCACATAGAGATGAAACAGAAATTGGAGAGAAGGTAAATATGGTAGAGCTTCCAGTGGCGTACGCAGAAATTTTTCAAGGGGGGGGCCCAACTTCGTAGGGTGGGGCCGGCCATGGCACAAAAAATTTTTTATCACGTGAAAATATTTTTTCCTGTACCCCCCCTCCAGGACTTTTTCGTCTCAAGGGGGCCCGGGCCCCCTCGGCCCCCCCCCCCTGCGTACGCCACTGAGAGCTTCGGTAATATATATATAATTATAAGAATAAATTAAAAATAGGGTATTAATCTATCTGGTGGACAAAGACAACGAGTTTCTTTAGCTCGAGCTATATATAGTGAAGCAGATATTTATCTATTTGATGATCCTTTATCAGCTGTTGATGCACATGTTGGTGCTCATATATTTAAACATGGTATTGGACCAAATAGTTTACTAAAAACTAAAGTAAAATAATTTTATTCAGTAATTACTTTAAAAAAAAGTGTTCGTTTTAATTTGATTTTTAGACTCGTCTTTTAGTAACACATGGTGTATCACATTTACATAAGTGTAATGAAATAGTTGTTGTTTCACGTGGTGAAATCATTGATCATGGACCATATGCTGAATTAATGAATAACAGTAAAATTTTACGTGATCTTGTATCTGCAATTATTATGGAAGCCACTGAACGAAAATTAAGTGATACAGGTATAAAATACGTTATAGTTTATATTATATATGTATAAAACAGAGGTCTCAATGGATTGGGCTAAACTGAAGAAAGCCGATCCATGGGTTATCAAACTTTGATACAAGACTACCCATGATTTTTCTTATAAATTGGTCCACTCATCTAATTACACTGGATAATTTTTTAACATATAGAATGAGTAAGCACATTTTGAGTACTGATAGTTGATATTTAAACAAATGTTTAGTTACATATTTGACAAGTTGTAAAATCTTTAATTTCTCTCGAATTCATCAGTATTTTATGATTTTGTTTTCGTCGGAAAATCAAAAATTTATCAACATAAAGATATGTTCGCTATTTTATTTTTAGTAACAGTACATATCGATGGTTATTCTTTCAAAAGACATCTAAGCTGTTTGAATGAATACTGTTTAGTATGTAGTAATGAATCGACAGCGATAATTGAAGAAAAAGTGTTAACAAAAGTTGATCATTGTGAAGATCTATTAAGAATAGAGTTAGAATTAAAAAAAGTAATTTGAAGATCATGCTGTAATTGTCCTTGAATGAAGACAAATAGTTGGTCAAGCGTATTGAGAATTTTGGGTTAAAATCTCGAAATCTCGATAGATCTTCATTCATTCTGATCGATAAAGTTGTAATCTTGGACCAAATCATGTAGTCAAACTAATAAAAACTACAAACACTTCTTTTGGAGAAACTATGTTTTATAATGAATAATGAAAATTAAAAAAAAAACATTATTAAGACAAGGAAAGATTCATTGATTTCTTTTCAAAGGATATTTTTATTTTTCACTTGTTATTATTTTGATTGAATTTCATACGAAATAGTAGATGTCGAATATTAAATTTGTTCGATTAATAATTTTCCTTAATAAACGAAATTTCTTGTGTATTTTATTAGTAACAAGAAAATATGGTTGTAAGTTAGATACGAACATCAGACTTATGTATAGAATTTTTTCTTTCTGCGTGTAATTTCACCATGTCGATCTATATCATCTTATATCACAGTTCATCGATATGAGATGATCGGTTAGGCCGGAGTCGTAGTTAGACATCGGCTAGACCGATCGATAAAACACGTGTAAATCGATTCTCTCTCTCATCGATGTGATTACCTAATCGATTAAATATTGCCCTTTGTGTTCGTCATGGTTAGTATGGTTCACATACTTTGACAAGACCTCTGAGGCTTAAACAAATTTACCATGGAATCACATTGACTAATGGTATTAGTCAATCCTCCCCCTTTTTTTTTTCAATTTAGAACCTAAAACTCCACCAAGATCTCCAATTGAAATCAATGAAAATATCTTTAAAACAGCTGCAGATAAGATTCAAGAGGAAACAACAACAGTTGAAGTAACTACAAGGGAATTGAAAGAAGAAAAAGATAAACTTATTCAAAAAGAAACTGTTGAAACTGGTTCAGTAAGTTTAATTTAATTTAGTTTCTTTTATTTTTGTACGACTTACAAAATATAAAAATGTTAGGTTAAATTAATTGTATTTCTTACGTATGTGCGGGCATGTACAATACCAATGGTTTTAATCATATGTGTCTTATTTTCATTGACAACACTTTCATCATTAAGTACAAATGTTTGGTTATCAAGATGGACAGATCGATCTAAAAATGAAACAGTATCAACTCATGATAGATCATCATCAATCAGTAAAATACATGGTATAACAGTTTATTCAATATTAGGACTTTGTCAAGGTAATAAATTAAAAAACAATTTTTTTTTTAATTTTATGAAAAATTCATTTGAAGAATATTAATTAAAGAGAAAAACGTTTATAGTTCTATTTGAGTTCGTAGGCACTTATGTTATGTTTAAAACAAGTTTAAATGCATCACGTAAATTATTTTATAAATTTCTTCTGAATTTATTTCGATTACCATTATCTTTTTTTGAACAAACACCTATTGGTAGAATAATAAATCGTTGTTCAAATGATTTTGATACGATTGACAATGTTATAATATTTACATTACGTTCAACGCTTAATGCCATACTTGGTTTTGTTACTTGTTTTATTCTTATTGCTAATTTTCTGCCTGAAACAATACCAATAATGATTATCATATTTATTCCATTTATATTTCTTGAGGTTAACAAAAAAAAATAATGATAATAGCAATACTATTTGATTTCTTTTTTGCTCTTAGCTATGCTTGCTTGTAGAAAAAAGACTAGATTATAGTGTGATGCTCTTCTTTTCTAGGATTTATCGGTTTTTTTATGCAATTTTTTGTTTATCTTGCTGCGTATGCTGCTAGTAGAAGATTACATTCATCTATATTATTTGGTGTGTTATGTGCACCTATGGCTTTTTTTGATACAACACCGATCGGAAGAATACTTAATCGCTTTGCTAAAGATATTGATGCAATTGATTCATCCTTACCTACTTCATTTTCATCCTCATTTACTACATTATCACAAGTATTAATAACTATTATTATATTGATGTATGGTTCGTGGTTTTCCATTTTTGCATTAATACCTCTTGCTATACTTTTTTCTTTTATTCAGGTATTTTACCGAAAAACTATTCATAATAATTATTGAGATTTTATGTTTTTGTTTTAGCGTGTTTATGTGGCATCTTCAAGACAACTTCGTCGTCTTGATTCAAGTACACGTAGTCCTGTTTATTCAAATTTTGGAGAAACAATTCAAGGACTTAGTTCGATTAGAGCGTATAATGTACAACAACGTTTTATTGATATATCAGATCGATTACTTGATAGAAATCAATCATGTTATTTTGCTAGTTGTATCGCGAATAGGTTAGTTATAAGTTTAATTAGTTTGGACAGAACTTTTGATATTGAATTTGAAAAATATGTCATTTTATTGAATTGATTTTCTCTTAAATCATAAAGAAAATATTTGCAAATAACTGTTTGTAGAAATGTTGTGATGAGATAGAAATAAATAATAGTACGGATGCTGTTTTAAGACATTGGTTATCGAAGAAAAAATAATAGTTATATTATAAAAAGTATATTTTTCTTGATTCATAGATGGCTTGCAATACGTTTGGAAGCTATTGCCAATGCATTAACATTATGTACAGCTTTATTTGCTGTTCTTATGCGTGATCGTCTTACAGCAGGTATTGTCGGTTTAACAATAACTTATGCAATGCAAATAACTCAATCACTTAATTGGATGGTTCGTATGGCAAGTGACATTGAAACAAATATTGTTAGTGTAGAACGTGTGAATGAATATGCTGCATTAAAACCAGAAGCTCCATGGGAAATATCAGAAAAAAAACCACGAGCTGAGTGGCCCACTAGAGGAGAAATTCAGTATGCAATGATTTTTCCTTTTTTTTTGTTTCTAGCATGGATTTTTATATTGTTATTGTTTGTTTGTTTTTATTTCAGAGTTAATAAATTATCGATACGATATCGTGAAAATTTAGATTTAGTTCTTCAAGATATTACAGTTAATATTCAACCAGGAGAAAAAGTAAATAAAAAAAAAACTTAAATATTTAAATTAATCTATTATTATATTTGTATCTAGATTGGTATTATTGGACGTACAGGTAGTGGAAAAAGTAGTTTTTGTATTGCATTATTTCGTATAATTGAACCTGCAAATGGTGAAATAATTATTGATAATATTGATATTCGTCATATTGGTTTACATGATGTTCGATCAAGAATTACCATCATTCCACAAGTAATTAAATACATCGATTTAGAAAAAAAAAATTTCTTGTTATTATTAAGGATGCGTTCATCTTTGCTGGAACAGTAAGATTTAATGTTGATCCATTCGGCACTTATAGTGATACAGAAATTTGGGCAGCATTAGAATTAGTACATATGAAAGCACGTATTAGTTCGACAGAAGATGGTCTTTCACATTTATTAACCGAAGGTGGAGAAAATTTAAGGTAAACTTTGAATAAAACCTATAAGATAAAAAAAAAACATAAGAAAACATCCTTTTCGGGTATTTAGTGCTGGTGAAAGACAATTATTATGTATGGCAAGAGCTTTATTACGAAAGAGTAAAATATTTGTACTTGATGAAGCAACAGCTGGTAATTAAGTCTTTGTGTATAGTTATCGTGTGATTCTTCTGTTCTTTTATTTCAGCTATTGATATGGAAACAGATCGATTAATACAGATGACAATTCGATCGGCTTTTAAAGATGCAACAGTATTAACTATTGCCCATCGACTTCATACAATTTTAGATAGCACAAAGTATGCTCTTGTGTTCTATTTCAATAGAAATAATTATTCTTGTTCTTTTTTTTCATATGTAGAATTCTCGTTTTATCTAATGGTCGTTTACAAGAATATGATGAACCAAAACGTTTAGCTGCAAATCCAAATTCTGCCTTTTCCAAATTATTATATGATGCCCATATCAATTTATCTACTGCAAATATAAACTCAGAAAAATCTGAAATTTAGTCACAAACAAAAAAAAAACAATGTAGATGTGTAGTTGAAACGTTCTCTGATGTTGACTCTAGCTTGTAGAACTATTTTTTTTTCATTTTTCTGTACTCTTCTTATAGTTTTTATTTGCCCACAAATTTTCGTGTGATATAAAGTTGCATATATTCTTTTTTGTGAAAATCTTTCAAGTGTTTAATTATGATGATTCGTTTGTCTTTCTTCATAATATCAATCACTAATGAAATATCTGAGTGTGCATTCAATAAAATATAACAATTTTCTATATCTTTACGTTTTTTTCTGTTGTTCTTAATACATTTAGCGTACACTTTCTTGTCAACATTTTTTTTCTTACAACATTAAATTAATGATATTTATTTAATTCAGCTTACAGATGAAAGTAGGAAAATCAAATAGGAAAAATATCTGTAAATAAAACAAGATCAAATAAATAGGAAGAATTATATATTGATAAAATAATCGAGTCAATATAGAATAGATCAGAAAAAGTAATCATAGTTTTATGAAAGTCTCATATATATATAAACTATTTGCGGATGTATATCTCATGAATATTTATACATTATAGTAGTTGATCGGTTGTAGTACGTGAAGGGAGACATATTTTTTTTTACAGCATTTTGTTATATATGTTAGACATAGAAAACTTAGATATACTCTCAAACATCAATAAAAACTTTGTGCTAACACACAAAAATATTCAATTAAATGATTAAGCATACAAAATTTATTCTTGTCACAATGATAAATCATTTGACATAACTATTAATCATATCGAATAAACAAATGTCTTGGAAAATAAAATATTTAGAAGTTGAACATGATATTAAAAATATGGACATAGCTGTATTTTAAATAACCAATAGATTAATTATTGTTATTGAGTATTTTAATGTAATTAATCAAAGTAACATTTAAAATATCCTTTGAATTCAAGATTCTTTATCAAAGATAAAACTGCATTTTTGTTTTCTAATAAAATAAACTTTGTCATGTTTCTTTTCATGACATCATGCCTTTTGAATATTAATACAAAAGAAAAGAAAAGAAACGTATCATTCATATTTCTTATCAAAAGGAAAGCTTATCATGTAAAAAAAGATAATAAAACGTCAACGTAACAAAATATTATATTGTTAATATCGAACCAACAAGGCAAGAATGCATCTTCTGGATTTCGATACTTCACAAAATTCTTCAAATCGATCAAAGCGTATTTTTAAATACATAATCGTTATTCTTTCCATTCTAGTAGGATTATTATGTCTTGTTGGATTTATTGTAACATCTATTAAGTGGAACTTATCTTCTAATCTAGTCAATGAATGTAAAAATGATACACAACCAATTGTACTTTGTTATATACGTTTGATTATTAATAATGCTCTTTTGACACAATGGGATCGTTATATAATGATATCACTTTTACTTACTTATGCAAGTGTTTTTTTTCATATTATTGTTGAATCAACTCGAACGAATGTTTCTGGCCTCCTTGGACAAATGATAATTCAAACAATATTTCTTATTATTGGTATTGGAGCTTGTTTTCCAATATTGTTTATTCCATCATATGTTTATTTTTATAAATCAGAAAATAACTTAAATAAATCGCCTGTACCAATTCATATTTTATATACCGGACTTATTTATATCATTTTAATAATTATAACTCCAACATATCTAGTATATTTTCTTTCATCAAATAAATTAATTGTGTCTATAATGTCGATAATTCTTCTAATATCTCCGCTTGGTTTTGCTCTTATATCGTTACCGGTTCGTTTATTTTCGGAATGTATCCAACGTTGTTGGATTATTAATAGTCATCGACTTATTGTTTATTCTCAAATAATTCTATTTATTTTATCAGCTCCACTCTTTTTTATAACATTTGTTTCTCTTATCATGCATTGGTCCAATGACCTAATAAAAAGAAGTTATGTGACTGAAATAACAAATATGGTCAATCCAATCACAGTTATTTGGTCTATTGATTATGTATCAATATTTATTGGTCTTATTTTATTTATTATTACAAATGAATATTTATCTATTGGTAAAACCTATCGAATTCAATCATCAAAAATTAAAAGATTAATTGCTTGTTTTATTTTTGTTCTTGTATTTATTATTTCACCATGTTTAGCATTTCCATTATATATTGCTTGGAAAGAATATCAATTTGTTGAACTAATTTAATTTTATATTAAAAAAAATTTGTTTATTGTACCTTTGTGTGTTTTTTTCTTTGGATTATTTTTGAAAAATGAAAAAAAAAGAAATGCTCTAGGTAATTTCATTAACTAGTGGTATTTAAGATGGATTAAAGATTGCCATTACTTTCTAAAGAAAGAAACTTGAGATAGGAAGAGAGCGAGAGAATAGAATAATCAGATGAAAAAGGATTTTATTCTTGTTGAAAGAAAGAAGAAACATGGGAGCAAGTTAGGGTGTTTTCATAATGCTATTACTAAGTCTTTTTTTTATATCCATATCTATACTCCATAGGCACTTCTACACCTACTTGTCATTGAGTATGTTTGGTTCTATTCTTTTCTTTTCTTTTCTTTTCGAAAAATATGAGACATATGCGTGAATGATGTTCGAGAATTGCCATCATTATCGACAACATCACTATTATTCATGAATCTGTCTTCATATTCGTCTTTCTCTGCGTTTATAACTCTCTTTTTTTTTTTGTCCTACCGGATCTATTTTAATAAAAATCTGAGCTATTAATAACATTCACGAAAAGCAAACTTATTGAGAAAGAGAAAAAAAAATAATAACTAAACGATTCGAAAGAGTGTTATTGATGTTGTCCTATTTCTTATATGAAATTGTCTCATGACGGACACGATTTAGTGAAAGAGTGCTGAAGAAAAAAATAAGGAACATACACGCAAACATACATTGATATAATGAAAAAAAGACGACGACGACAACAACGCTATAGCAGCAATACTGTGAGACGAAGAAGAATCATTCTCTGACGCATGATCTCTCCATGATAAATGCATACACACATACATTCAGCTTGTTGTCCGCCAACCGATGTCAGCATTCTCTCTTTCATTTTTTCAACTTCAAGATTTGAAAAAGAAAGCAATTATTCTTCTTTTTTCTTTTTATACTTGATGTGTTGATAAAAAATTTAATGATAAAAAAAAACCAGAAATTTTATAATTGAATAACCATCGTTAATTAGCAATAAACGGAACAACCAACAATGTGAGTTAATAAGTAAAAAGAAATGATTAAATTTTCACTTCATTGATTTATATATATATATACAGGTATATTTTTTTCTTCTTTTATTTATAGTAACAAAAATCTTTTTTTACTTATGATATTTTCTATTTTTAATTATTATATGGTATTTTAATAAATGGCTGGTGCATGCGGACGTTCAAATCGTAGTCAATCAAAAGCAATGATATTTGCAATAGGAGTATGTATATTAAAAATAAAATGATCATAAACATCTTCTCTTATCATTATCATTAAATTTTTTGATGCGTAAAAAACATTTTCTTTTATGATATTAACCTTAATCAAAAACAAAATTGAATTTTCTTTTGTAATATTATACTATAGAAGTACGTTTTATGACGTAAATTAGTGGGTGATTATTCCGGCTCAATGATTAAAATATAGATAATATATTCAGTTGAATAAATCTGTTTTGTTATTTTTTTTTTGCATGCGTATTTGTTTAGAGAGAGAGAGAGCAAAAAAATTTAGTAGACCTATCAACTAAACACGGATGAAAAAAGAAAAGAATTAATACTTTGAATATAATGTATAATGTATATGTGCAAATTGACACTTATAATAAAAATGCGTAGGATGATTAAATAATTGAAACAAAGTTTTCTTTTCATATTTATTTATAGATATTTAGAGTAAATGAAGACATACTTGATGCAGAAAAAAAAACTAACGAGTCTTCAAAAAATATCTAGAAATAAATTAGTCAAGATTTCATTAATTGCTTGAAATAGTTGCCTTGGTTATTTACATAGAATAATTTTTCCTCAAGTTAATGATGAAAGGTATATCGCTAAAGTCATCGGTACATAGTAAATGAAACATTCTTGCTATAATATAGAACAAGTTTTTGAAGTTGTGCTGTTCACTTTGGTTTTATTTGAGTAGATCATCGAACTAAAATCCATATAATATCAGTTGTGAAAAATGTCATAGCTTTCAAATAATTATGACACTGTTCGATTTGAGACCGTGAGAAACATTTTTATTAATACATGGCTTGACATTGCTATGGGGAAGTTTGACAGCATATGTGTCAAATTTGGATGTTCACTTTCTGATATGTTTTGACGCAAGGTTGTAAACCATTATTGATGTTAGCATATTGATCAATAGCTTAATCTCAATGAACATAGAACTCGTTGTTTCGAAAATGACATAGAGCAATGCCTTAATAGGAAAATTATCTAAATTTTTTTTCAAAATAGAACATCTTATTAGAAGAAAGATGTGCCGGACATAATCGAACACCTTCCATTTCTTAATTAGCTAGTTTGTCGAATAATAGAAATTTCAAGAAGTATATTTACATCAAAATATGACTATTTCATTTCCAGAGTTTTGAGTTGAGGATCTTAGAAAACTCAAGTCAATGTTATTTCTCAAAGTCTAAAACCTTTGAATAATCTCTTCGCAAATCCTCAAAATCACTTTGGTTTATTGTAAAATCTCTTTTTTTTATTAAGAAATTATGGGAATACATGAGACACAATAGAATGGCGGGGATCTTCTATTGCGGTAGGGGAAATTTACTTGAGACATAATCAGTAGATTATCTAGATTTGACTTTTAGACAATATTCGAAAGCTTTAGATCAGTTTATTTATGTAAAAGCCGTCATTCATTGCTTGCTACGACACTACATAATCACCATGTTCTTTGCTCAAATTTCACTAAGCTTTTTTCCATTCTGAATTACTCATCATGTCGTACATTAA